AGCCCCCGAATTGTTCCACCCTGCAGGTAAAGAAACTTTGGCTGCAGCACACGGGACAGAAAAGAGCCCGAGGAGCAGCTGATGCTTTCTGCAGCCTCCCCTCCCCAGCCACAGCAGCCCTTCAGAAAATGGCCCTTCAAACACTCGTGATTAGACCTTTCCCTTCTGCTCCTGGCCGTGTGTCTGCAGCGAGCTCTGATGGAATCTCTGGGAGCGTACCCATGCTGGGATTGGAACGGCACCTCCCATGGGGAGAACCTTTACCCATGGGGAGAACCTTTAACCATGGGGATCACTTTTAACCTTAACCCATGGGGAGAACCTTTAACCTTAACCCATGGGGATAGCCTTTAACCTTAACCCATGGAGAGAACCTTTAACCTTTACCCATGGGGATAACCTTTAACCTTTACCTATGGGGATAACCTTTACCCATGGGGAGAACCTTTAACCTTAACCATGGGGATAACTTTAACCAGGTCCTGCTCTCCTCCCTGCCGGGTCCTGCTCTCCTCCCTTCCAGGTCCTGCTCTCCTCCCTGCTGGGTCCTGCTCTGCTCCCTGCCAGGTCCTGCTCTCCTCCCCTACTCATCCTTTTATTGCTCAGGCCCCAGACCAACACTGATCGCTCCGCAGCTCCTTCATCCACCTTTGTTTGGGTTTTTAATTTCCATTGGAGCCAAGCAAAGCAGCCCAGGCTCTGCTGGAGGCTGTGGGAGCTGGTACAATAAAGCTGTTGTTCTATAAAAAGGCTGACAGCTTCTCAAGGGCTGCTGACATTTCTTGTATCAAGAATAATACACAGCAACAGCATTCACCAGCCCTGGGATGGGATTCCTGTGATTTTCCTGCTTGGCTCTGCTATATTCCTCCGTGGACGCTCCTGGTTCAGAGAGTCCCAGTACTCATTCTGGTTGATCTGGGCTGTAATGTTTTATTTCACTCTGAAGTGTTTTTTTCCTAAGATAGAACAAAACCTATGAAACTTAAAGTCCACGTCAAATAGAAAATTTTTCTTTTGACATATTTTATCTCGATGCCACCATGGAAAGTATTGAATGATCCACTTCTAGCTGAATATTAATGAAGTAAATTATCTTGGAAAATTCCCGACTGTGTTCAGACTACAGGAACTAACAGGCCTCATTAGATGCCTGTTGATTAGAAATGTTCAAGTGGGTTTTCTTTCTTTGAATTGTAATTAAAATGAATTTGACAGCCTGAACCCCCAGGCCTGGAAGGGGCTCCCGCTGCGTGGTGTGAGCCGGAGGGGAGCGCACGTCCCTGCCCGTGGGGGCTCAGCAGGATGGGACCTGCCCTGAGGGGCACCCCGGGGTCCCTCCCCACCCAAACCTCTCTGGGGTTCTGCTACGTTTGCTGGCTTTGCTCAGATCCCATCACTTTTCTCCCCACGGCTGCACCTCCCGTCACTGTGGCTCCTCACCCTGTCCCACCCCTGCAGCTCCAGCCTTGCCCTGCCCTGGGCTGTGCTTTCCTGTGACCCTCCTGCCGGGCAGGGAGTGCTGCTGGGGTGCTGCTGGGGTGCTGCTGGGTGCTGCTGGGTGCTGCTGGGTGCTGCTGGGTGCTGCTGGGTGCTGGTTCGGGCAGGGAGCCTGTGCTGGGTGCAATCCCAGCTGGGCAGTGCAGGAGTGTGTGTGACAGCCCAGCTCTGCCATCAGTGGCCCCAGTGCACAGCAGGGTCAGGAGTGCTGTTTAATCACCCCTCCCTTTAGGATTAACAGGCAAGACAAGGGATAACATTTGATCTTTCTGGGGGCTGAACCTAGGCAGATTAAATACTGTATTCCTTACAGTTATTTTTGTTCTCAGTGGGTGTATTTGGGTCAGAAACACCCTGAATGCTGTAATGGAAATGCACTACGAGGCACAGAGCTTCAGCTGTCACTGTTTGGCTCCTCTGTGGGTGCTGCCCAGCCCCTGGCTTTGCTGGGGCTGTCTCTGGGACTGGGACCCAGCAGCGGTGTCCCTTCTGCCCAGGGAGCTGGGCAGGGCCCTGCACCCCTGGGTGCTGCCCAGCTGCAGGGGAGCAGGCAGGGCAGCGGGTGCTGAGCGAGCCTGGAGCAGCAGAGCTGTGTGAGCCCGAGGGACAAACCCCCTGCTCCCTCCAGGGAGGGCTGGCTGGGCTGGCAGCTCTGGGGTGGCATCCTGCAGCCCTGGGCATCACTGCTGGCACTGCCACCGGCCAGGCTCGCTCACTGCCCGGCTCCATCCCCGTGCTGGGGCAGGAGGGTTTGGAGCCTCCCTGCAGCAGGGCTGCCACCTCAGACCCAGCTGGGTTTGGCTCCTCCAGCCCAAGGAAACCAGGAGCATTCCCACCCAGGAACTATCAACTCACACACAGCTGCCTGGGGCTCCAGGGCTTAACAGGGAAAACTTCCCACCCTGCTTTCCTGGGAACAAAAACTCGCCTTAATCCAAAATCCTGGCACGGCCCATGCAGCCCTGGCTGCTGGCCACAGCCAGCAGGTGCTTGCCCAGTGCCATGTTCTCCTGGAGAATGCTGCTCCAAGGAAAAGAACAGGTTTTCTGCAGGCTGTCTCTGCTATCGGAGCTGTTTGTCACCCATGGGTAACTCTGCTCCGTGATTTATTCCTCCCTCCCCTCCCCTGCACTTCCTCCCAGCGCCTACCAAATGTCTCAATTAGATAATTGCCCTGATTTAGACGTAAGGAAGTTCTCAGCTGTCTGAGGCCCCGGCTGGGCACCAGGATTTCTGGGAGGAGATGAAAGCTCCTGCAGGCACAGCATGCAGAGCTCTGCTTTGGGAGCTGCAGCGTGCTGCTTCCCCTGGCAGCAGCCAGCCTGGCTGCTGTGCTCCTGTTCTGCTGCCACTCCACCAGGGAACCCCTGGCGTGGCATTAACTGTGACCCAGTGCACAGGGGTCCCCTCCCGCTTTCAGGCCGATGTTCCCTGGCATAGCACCAGGCCAGCTCTGCTGTGTGGGACAGCGTGGCCCTGCTGCCACAGCCCCTGGGGACACGGTGACAATGGCTGTTAGTCACGATCAGCCACGGCCCCAAGAGCACTTCATTAAATTGCCTCCAAGACTCGGGAGTGGGGTTAATTATTTAGGTGCCTTAATTTTCAATTCATCTCTCTCTGTGGCCTGCAGCACCACAACTCTGTAACGCTGCTCCAGAGACAGAGGCACGAGAAACCTGAGCAGTATTTACCTGAGTGCAATCACTGCCGTGGAGGGAGCTGGGATTTACAGTGCTCTGCGGTGCCTAGCACACAAAAATGAATGTTAAAACAACCCCCATTGTTTCTCCTGCACCTACAAGGCTCCAAATTCCAGCAGGTTTTGTGTCTGTGAGTCGTTACCACACACCCGTTGATGCTGTTGGTTTGGTTCTGGGCTGTCATGGCTGTGCAGCTGCAGCATGGGCAGGGTGGGGATCCCTCATCCATCCATGGATCCCTCATCCGTCATCCCTCATCCATCCATCCAGGGATTCTTCATCCATCCATCCATCCATGAATCCATGGATCCCTCATCCATCCATGAATCCATGGATCCCTCATCCATCATCCATGGATCCATCCATCCATGGATCCCTCATCCGTCATCCCTCATCCATCCATCCAGGGATTCTTCATCCATCCATCCATCCATGAATCCATGGATCCCTCATCCATCCATCCATCCCTGGATCCTTCATCCATCCATGCATCCCTCATCCATCATCCATGGATCCATCCCTCATGCATCCCTCATCCATCCATCCATGGATCCTTCATCCATCCATCCATGGATCCTTCATCCATCATCCATGCATCCATGAATCAATGCATCGATTCATCCATCATCCATCCATGGATCCCTCATCCATCATCCCTCATCCATCCCTCATCCATCCATCCATCCATCCCTCCATCCATCCCTCATCCATCCATCCATCCATCCCTCCATCCATCCATCCATCCATCCATCCATCCATCCATCCATCCATCCATCCATCCATCCCTCCATCCCTCATCCATCCATCCATCCCTCCCTCCCTCATCCATGGATCCCTCCCGTCCTGGCCTGCAGGGCTGCAGGGCTCTGGTGGCTCGTGTGGCACCCTGGCACAGCAGGCAGCCTGCCCTGCCCTGGCTCTCTGCAGCCCCGCTCACCTGGCCCTTGCTGAGCAGGTGTGAGGTGGGGCCTGCCAGAGCAGCACTTTCCCACAGCCTCCAGCACAGTGACAGGGGTGATTGCTTATTTTCATTTATTTCATAAATAACTCCAGCAACAGAAGCATTTGCCTGACTCGGTTCTACCAGCATGAATTAAAACATTCAATTACACCACTGGGGGAAGTTTAAATATTTACTTATTCTTGAGGGGATTATAAATTAACCCAAAGGACCTCCATAAACCTTTGCCAAGACATTGACAAAAATCTTCAATCCAGGCCTTAATTAATCTGTGGAGAACTGCACAGAGGCCCCAAGAGACGCTGGGTGGAGGAGCCCCAAGGGCCCTGCAGGAGGGGCACACCCAGCTGCAGTAATTCAGATTTACTGGAAGCATTAAAACCAGCTGTACCTGGCACATTGCATGGCAGGCCCTGGAGAGGAGCTTTGGCTGCTGCCCTGGGCTCCTGGGCAGTTTTGGGGCCCGAAGCCCGGCTGGGGTGAGCTATGCTGTGACTGCCCCGGGCAGGGATGCTCCAGACCAGCTGGGAAGTGCTCCTGGGCAGGCTCAGGGTCCCCTCCGCTGCCTTTCCTCTCCCCACAGGAAAAACAGGAATGGAAATTGCTTGTCCAATGTATTTGTTGCTGTCCTCTGAGGAACCAAAGCGGTGCTGTCAGGGGTGATAAATGAATGGGATGGGTTTGATGGGCAGCCAGCAGGGCAGGGCAGCTCCAGCGAGGAGGGCTGGCAGGGTTTGTGCTGGCCCAGGTCCTGGAAGGGCGCTGGAATCCAAATCTGCTGGCTGGGAGCCCTGCCCAGGCTCCTCCCGGGCAGGGAAAGGGGAACTTGCTGGGACCCCATTCTGGGAGGCCCTCGCCACCCTGCCACCCCTGTATTCTCTGCTTTTCATGTGGTAATTCATGGTTTATTTCAGCAGAAAAACAAAACTCTGCCTGAGAAAAGCCTGCCCCACTTGGCCCTCGCTGTGCCTTAGACTGAAGCTGAAATCCTGCTTGATTTGGATTTATTTTCCGGAATTATCTGCGTGTGTGGCAGGGCTGTTTGGCAATCTCCTGCCCTCTGCAGATGCTCTGTTCTCCAGGCAGCACTGGGCTCCTGGAAGGATGCTCCACATCTCTGCAGGGCAGGAGAGCCTCTGATGAAAGGGCTGCAAATTGGGCCAGTCCCCGAGGGAAGCAATTCCAGGGATAAAAGCAGGTACAGTAACTGCACTTCAATAACCTCATTTTACAGCCTCTGCTGGCTGTGCAGCTCTCAGGGGCACGAGCCAACCCACCCTGTGTCCCCTGCATGTGGAAGGGGCTTGGCCTGAAACTGTGGGGAAGGAAAGAGGCAGAATCCGTGGGGCTGGGAATGAAAAACAGGATACGAGGCTTCACCTGGGTTTCTTGGGGCTTTGCTGAGGGTCTGCCTGGGGCTGGAATGGTCTTTAAGGTCCTGTCAAATCCACCCCTCTGAAGGAGTCATGGAATAAGAATAATTGTGGGGGGAGATAATAAAAAAAATTCTTGCAGGGGGACTTGCTCTGGGAGGAGGCTGCAGCTGGCTCTGGCAGCAGCAGCAAACCCCTGAATTGCTCCAGGCCAGGATTCCCCCTCCTGCGTGTCCGGAGCTGCCCCATCCTCATCCTCCTCCTCCTCACACCTGCCTGCCAAGGTGGGCGCTGGGCAGGAGCTGCAAACCTGACCCAGGGCCCTGAACCCCAAAAAGCATCTGCAGCGGGCAGGGGCAGCCCCAGACCCCAAACTCTGCCCCCACAAGAAGGGCTTTGGTGACTCCTGCAGAAAGCCAGCCCCTGCCAGGGGTCTCACCCTGCTCCAGGCAGAGCTCTGCTGTTGTGGCAGCAGGAGTTTGTTAATTGAGCAATTTCTCCTGACCTTGATGGAGACCAGCGCTAACAGCCAGATAAATAGATTAGGATTGTAATATTTCAAGGCCAGGCCTGGAAATGAAGTGCATTTATCTGGTTGGGCCTGTTTTGCCGTGGCAGTGGCTGGAATGTTTTGCAGGTTTTGGTTCCAATTTGCACAGAAGCATACATCACACCGGGGACAATGCTACACCTAACTCACAGCAGCAAATGAGAGCAATTAAAAATAGCTCAGTAAAAATTATACTGAGTCTTCAATTACTTGGGGAGATGAGGAGCAGGACATTCTGTAATTGACTTGTTCATCTTATTCTCTAAGCACAGCCTCAGCCAGGGTAACTCCTGAGCTGGTGGCCATTCCACCCCCAGTTCCACTCTCTGACACTATAAACCACACACTGTGGCTTCAGTTTTCAGGCTGAATGAAGGTTATTATCTGTATCTGTGGGAGAGGGGGAAGATGGGGCATTTTTTCCATCAGAAATGCAGTTTTCTTCCAGCTCTGCTGCTCCTGGTGTGCTGTGACACCTCCTGCTGACACCTCAGCCAGGCTCTGGATGGGTTATTACGGTGCAGAGAAAAGCAGGAAATAGCTCTGGGCTCTCACTGGGGGCTGGAGTGGGGCTGTGCTGCACACACACACCTGCTCTGCATGGCTTGGAGGTAAGCCTGCCTTTCAGCCAGGAGCAGAAATAAAATGCCATGGAATGATTGGAATTCCTGCCTTTGCAGATGCCTGCTTCGAAAATCAACAGAAGATAATCACAAAGGTTGGAAAAGATCTGTAAGACCATCGAGTCCAAGCACAAAGCTGGCACTGCCACCAAGCCACGTCCCCAGGCACCACATCTTCTAAACACCCCTGGAATGAGCTGCTGCCAGCTCATGTGCTGAGCTCATTTCCAGCAGTGGGACAGCTCTGGTGCCCCTGGTTCCCGGGTTTCAGCTCTGATGAAGGGCCTGTTCCTCTGCTCCTCACCCACAGCTGAGTTCTGGGCAGCAGCAGGCACTGTACAGCCAAGGGGAGCCTCGCTGAGGGGCTTTGCTGGGGCTGCTGCAGGGCGCCAGGGAGGCTCTGCCAGTGCTGGCCCAGCTTTTGGGGGAGGTACGTGATGCCCAGCTGGGCTGGCAGGGCACTGGGGGCTCTGCCCTGCCCAGCTGGTTGTGTTTGATCAGCACAGCCTGGCTGTCCCTAGGGCTGCTGGACACTTTGCTCTTGAGGCTCCCTCTCATGGGGGCGTTGCTGAACCTGTCTCAGGTGAGGGGCAGAGTTTTCCCCTTGCTGCAGTCTGCCAGAAGAATGCTCTGGAATTCTGTGCCCAGGTTTGGCTCTGCCATCCCTGCAATGCTGTGTGCCCAGCTGGCTGCCCATCCTGCTGGTTCATTCCATGACTTTTGTTCTGTCCATTCCTGCCCAGTGGGAGATGTGGGAAGTTTAATTGATGGCAGGTCCTTGAGGGCCCTGAACACGTGTGATGGTGTGTGGTGCTGGCTGGGATGAGTGTGTTTACAGCTTCTTTTTCTGTCCCTAAACTGCTGCCCCTTTGGTCACTTCTGAGTTCCAAACTGCACACAAACGAAGAGCTGGCTCCCCTGTTTGATGTGCAGTAAGATCATGGAATTGGGAATGAGCCTTGCCTGTGATGGTGCTGCTGCCAGTGCTGCCACCACTGAGAGGAGGCTCTCCTCTCTCGGAGCAGCCTGTACGTTCCTCAGGCCATTGTATACATTTGCTGCCTTTGATCAATAATTTAGGGTAATCATTTTGTTCTGTAAAATTTCCCAAGTCCATATATATTGCATGAAATGCAGAATAGCCAATCCCAGAATGGACTTTTAAAAGCTTTTCATGAAAGGTTTGGTTTTTTGTTTTTATTTTAAACTATGAGGAGGGGAAAGAAGTGGGTCTAGAGACGTGAATAAATCTGTTTGTTTGGGGACTTTGATTCCTGGAGATTTATTTTCTCAGTAGTGCTGGGTGGCACTGGGGCTGTCTCCAGCCCCTCATGCCGGTGGAGCAGCTGATTTCTGTTTTATTTTGGCCTCCAGCCCTCGGTGCTGGGTGAGGAGAGGGGCTGGGCTCTGCCCTCCCTGTGCTCCTGCCTGCTGGAGGACAAAGGCTCAGCTAGAGGTGGGAATCTCTGAGCATCAGGTGGAGGTGAAAGAGAGAAGGAAAAGCACAACTTCACAGGCTTTCTATTTTTTTGGAGTGGGGGGAGGTTGATTTATTGGCAGTGTTGACTAAGGTCAGAGAAAACAGGTGAGGAGCTGGATCTGTGCTCTGAGAAGCCTCTGCAGTAGAGTCAGTCTGAGACTCTGCTTTATTCATGGATTTGTTTATTTTAAAAAGGAAGAAAAAATGCCATTAAGCACCAGTGGGGAGAACATTCACATGTTGCATCTATTTGTCTATCTCCACAAATAATGAGGCGTAGAATTAGAATAGGTGGGGAGTGAAACCTGACTGGAGCCTAATGTGTGGGGACTTCGGGTTTCACTCCCAAGGAGAAACATTTAAAATGGCTCAGGCAGTGTGAGCTGATGTGTTATTCCCTCAGGAAATGGGATGCAAAATCATATTTATTGCTGCTGGTAGGGGATCTGAGGGTTTCTCTGTGCAAACACCTCCACCTCCAGAGGAGAGAGTTCCAGGGCACGTTCTGAATTCTGTGTGCCTGTGCAAGGGGAGGGGGAGCCCCAAAAGCTCTGCCTGTGGGGCCATTTGGAGAGGCAGCCAAGGGGACTGATGGATCCCTCTGGGCTCTCGGTGGGGTTCTGGTGGCTGCTGTGGCCAGGGGCTGGAGCTGGCCCAGGGACGGCTGGTGTGTGTCCCACTGTGCAGTCCCTGGAGCTGTGCCTGGTCCTGGGACCTGCTGTGCTCCTGCCTGGAGCCAAACCGGCTGAGAGGAGCTGCTACAAGGAGCCTTGAGGGGCTGGAGAGGGGCTGGAGAGGGTGGCACCGCCAGGGCAGGCAGAGGGTGGCACAGCCAGGGCAGGCAGAGGGTGGCACAGCCAGGGCAGGCAGAGGGTGGCACAGCCAGGGCAGGCAGAGGTGGCACCGCCAGGGCAGGCAGAGGGTGGCACTCGGGATGAGCTGGCCACAGGGAAATCTGTGTCCCTGTGGGGTTTCCCAAGGAAATCTGTGCCCCTGTGGGATTTCCCAAGGAAATCTGTGTCCCTGTGGGATCTCCCAAGGAAATCTGTGTCCCTGTGAGGTTTCCCAAGGCAATCTGTGTCCCTGTGGGATTTCCCAAGGCAATCTGTGTCCCTGTGAGGTTTCCCAAGGAACTCTGTGTCCCTGTGGGTTTTCCCAAGGGAATCTGTGTCCCTGTGAGGTTTCCCAAGGAAATCTGTGTCCCTGTGGGATTTCCCAAGGAAATCTGTGTCCCTGTGCCATCTCACCCTGTCCCAGGCACAGAGAGCCGTCCGGCACCGCGGTCACTGCAGCCCCCATGTGTTAAAATCCCTCCTGTGCTCGCAGGGAGGGGAAGGATTGGCTGTGGTGCCAGGCTGGTGGAAGGGCAGCAGAACCTGGCCACGATCCGTGTCCAGCACCACCCGAATTTATGGGCTCTGGGGACTGGCAGCACTCCTGGCACACACAGCCCCGTTCATTGAACTTTGAGCAGGCGTTTTCCCTCACCTGTTTTTGATTCTGGAACCTAGGAGGAAAAATAATTGGATATAGGGGGAAAATAAGAGCCTTCAAATGTGCTGTTACCATAATGTGCTCTGGCAGCTCGGGCAACGTGTTCCCTTTTTCAATGCTGAGGCGCATGAATAACACATGAGGCAGAGCAGGGCTGGAATGAGCTGGAAAGGAGCTGGCTCTGGGCAGGGAGCACATAAAAGGTGTTATCCAGAAAGGCCTCCAAGCTTTATCTTGCCCAGAGCCTGGCTGTAACCTCCCATCGCCCCCAGAGCGCCTGGCAGCTTCTGCTGCCTGCACTGTTGTCTTTCTGCTGTTTATTCCTTTTCAGGGTTTATTTTGCTGCTGAGTTGATAAAGATATCTCATTTTATTGCCCGTTTGAAGGGCCCCGTGCACAAAGCAGCTCTGGCCTGTGTGAGTGTGTTTGTAGAGAAATAAAGAGAGAACTCTTTGATCTCTATTGCAGAGTGGGCTTTAGGGTTTCACATGAATTGAAGTCACATGAACATAATTAATTTTAAGTCCTCTTGTCTGCCACTTTTCTGGTTGCTGCACACAAGTACCGAGACGAGCACACAAGTACCCGGCCCATAAGTTGCACTAAGTAAATGATGTTGTATTGATCAGAGCAGACTGAGCAACCAATCTGTTCATTACAGCTCTTCCAGGCTCCTTCCAAATCAGCCTTTCTGTTAAATATGAAATGTGTGTCTCCAGTGCTGGATCAGCCATTAAATGATGCTCATGGATATTAATAAAAGAGCCGAAGGCTTGTCTTAATGCAGGCAGAGAGGGAGCCCCAGGTACCTGGTAAATGGGATGAAGAATATAGCTTTATGGTGCACTTAAAATTGATTCCATTTTAAGTTATGTAGCAGTGCAAGAAGTGAGAATTTTTAAATTGTGACCTTTCCACACACAAATTGGCATATTTGGCTTATCTTTCTTCCCTTTACCCAAAGAATGGCGCTGACAGTTGTTGTTTCCTCGCCAGCAGAGGAATGGCTTCGCTGCCAGCAGGGCTGAGAGGGGTCAGGGGGAGCCTGGGGAGCTGCTGGCAGCGGGCACAGGCTGGGCTATGCCTCCATGCCACCTCCGGGTGGAGTTTGGGGTCTGTCAGGGGGAGTTTAGGGTCTGTCAGGGGGAGTTTGGGGTCTGTCAGGGGGAGTTGGGGTCTGTCAGGGGGAGTTTGGGGTCTGTCAGAGGGAGTTTGGGGTCTGTCTGGGCAGAGTTTGGGGCACTGGAGGAGGCTGCAGTCCCTGTCACCAGCAAATTTCTTAACTAATGCTTTGATTTCTTATAAAATTGTGAAGCAATTACAGAAATTAAGACAAAAGCCTGATTAATTAGAGGATAAATGGCAACAGATCCCAGTGCAGAGCCACCAGCATTCCTTAAGGGTGACTTAAAAATGTTTTGAAGCCTTTTCCTAACTTGCTGCAGTGTGGATGTCCTCTGTTGCTCATTTATAGCCATCTTCCCACACCCAAATTTTCAGATTTATATGTAAATGCAGTGTCGATCAATTAAAAGATAAACCCGACTTTTATGTGGGAATCTAGAAGGAATAAACTCACTAAAATGCAATTTTCATACCCTGATCTTTGTATACAGTGATCAGAGAGCAATTAATCAGATTATTTTTATTGCCCAATAGTAATTTTCCACTTTGCAGTAATCTTTTTTTGTCTGTAATTTGTCGTTATAAAACATTTTTCTATAAAAAAAAGGTAAGTTTGACGTAGAGGGTGTGTTTTGATCAAAGGCAGAGTAAGGGATGGTGCTGGAGGTGCAGCAGGGTGCCCTGGTGGGGAGATGACTGTCAGGAACTCTGGGGCACTGCTCTGGGAGCTTTGGGAGGGCAGAGCCAGCCCCTGCCGTGCTGGGGCACCTGGGGCACCTGGGGGTACCTGGGGGCACTTGGGGCACCTGGGGGCACCCAGGGGAGGCTGAGCTCAGTGCAGATGGGGACAGGTGAGGCAGAGCTCAGTGCAGGTGAAGCAGAGCTCAGTGCAGATGGGGACAGGTGAGAAGGCCCCAGGTGTGCTGGGTCAGGAGTTCCCGAAGGCTCCCTCGGGCTCCGGAGCCACACGGTGGCCGCGCTCTCCCAACCCCTGGATCCAAAGGGATGGAGCCCAAACGTGCCTCAGGAGCGTTTGCTTTGGAAGCGCCGCCGAAAACAGATTGGGAGGTTGAATTTCCAGTGATGGAGGAAGAGTGGAAGAATAGAAAACTTTGCCTTGAAGAAATACATCAGAGAAACAGGAGGAACTGCCACGCAATGTTTCCTTCTGGCTTCTCGCAGCGATATTACTAAAAGCATGAAAAAATAATTAATTATTGTGTGAGGAAGGGCAAAAATTAAAGTAATTTTTCCTATGAGGTTGTATTACGTGTTCTGCATAGCCTGCAGATAAATAATTCACTCTCTGTGATTGATGCAGTTAATTTGCTTTACAGTTCTGTCGCCTCTGGGCCGTGGTGTCTGCAGGGCCCAGGGCTGTGCTGTGTCTCCTGCAGAAGACAAAGTCCTGGCCCGTGTGTGCTGTGGCTCACAGTGCAAATGCCATTCCTCACCTGTGCCTCTGCCTGCACAGCACGCTCAGGAGCTGTGCTGAGCGAGCTCTGCCCTGCCAGGAGATGTTTCTGCTTTTTATCTTCACGAATGACCACGTTATTTATCTATTGGAACGCGCCCAACACCAACAAGTGCTCATGCAAGCAGCGAGCAAAAGCTCCCAGCAAACAGTGTGACACTAATCTGTTGTTTGTGCTAAAATACAGAGGAAATTACTGCTTGCCTGTCATGAAGCTCATAAAGGAAAAAAGAAAAATGCCACCGCAAAAGAATGAGCTTCAAAAGAAAGTTCCATTATCAGTTTGTTTCATGCCTTGTAGCTCCAGCTGCAAACAATCCCTTCCGTGAACACCCCCTCAAGATAAATGGCAGCACAATTCGGGTGCTATCGGGGAGATAAAGCCACGAGTCGCCTGTTTGGGGAGGGAGGATCTGCTGCTTTATTTTGTAACATCTCATCACCATCTTGGGGGAGCAAATGAATATGTATCGTCTGTTATCTTGTCATTTTGGAGCCAAACAACTTAAAATACGTTTTCTGTGAAATAACCCCGGGGATTTCAAGACCAGAATAAATTATTAGAGCAATTTGAGCTCGGAGTCTCTGCACTTGCTTGGAACGTGGTAAAAGCTCTTCCTGGTTTGTGGGAGCTGCTTTTGCTTAGGAAGCAAAGGGGGAAAAAGAGGGGAAATAACCCCCAAAGCTTTCCTAGCCCAGACACCTCTGCCAAAGCAGGGAACCTGTGGGGTGGGAAATGGCCTCTTCCCCAGGAACAGGGACAGGATGGGGGAATGGCCTCAGGCTGGGACAGTGGATGGTCAGGTGGACATTTAGGGAGATTTCCCCATGGAAAGGGTGGGCAGGGGGTTTGGAGCGCCCATCCCTGGAGCTGGCACTGGGAGCTCTGGGCTGGGCACAGGCTGGTGTGAAGGTCTGGGAGGGATTTCCCAGCGGAAAAGATTTTGGGATTTACAGGCACAGCTGATGAGGGCTGGGCCTGCAGCCTGTGGTGGCGTGGGCACGGATCTGGTGGCAAATGCCCTTCCAGGCTGTGGCACTGGTTCCTGTTCGGTAACTGGTGCTGGGATTTCTGAGAATTCTCTGGTTCTGCG